CATTGCTTCCCAGAATCACCAAAACGTCCCCTGGGAGAAGAAGCCACAGATGGAGGAGGGAGCAGATCAAGGGTCTGGAGAACAAGCCCTATGAGGAGCGGCTGAAGGAGCTGGGCATGTTTAGCCTCAAGAAGGGAAGGCTGAGAGGAGATATGATGAGGGCCACAGAGAGGAAGAGGAGATATGTGAGAGGAAGAAATATGTGAGAGGAAGCCACAGGGAGGAGGGAGCAAGCTTGTTTTCTGCTTCCTGGAGACTAGGACGCGGAACAATGGCTTCAAACTACAAGAGAGGAGATTCCATCTGAACATTAGGAAGAACTTCCTGACTGTGAGAGCCGTTCATCAGTGGAACTCTCTGCCCCGGAGTGTGGTGGAGGCTCCTTCTTTGGAAGCTTTTAAGCAGAGGCTGGATGGCCATCTGTCAGGGGTGATTTGAATGCAATATTCCTGCTTCTTGGCAGAATGGGGTTGGACTGGATGATGGCCCAGGAGGTCTCTTCCAACTTTTTGATTCTATGATTCTATGATTCCATCCCTTCCTTCCTTCCTCCTTTCCAGGCCTGCAAGTTTGCGCTGCGCATGTGCGGCCCCAGCATGGGCTGCCCGGGCCTCTGTGACATGTTCCAGAACCACCTCCACGAGGACCGTGGCCTCCATTACGGCGAGTTCATGAACGACGTCTGCAAGCACCTGGTGAGGCGCGGAGAGGGGCACGGAACTTAGACCGCAGTCATTGAGAGGGAAGGGCCTGGTGAGCGTCACCAACCCAAAGGTCCAGATTAAAAACTCACCCTAAGCCAGTGGTTCTCAACCTTCCTCGTGCCCCGACCCCTTAATACAGTTCTCATGTTGTGGTGACCCCTAACCATAACAGTTTTTAACCACAACACAGTTTTTAACCATAACCATAACATTATTTTTGTTGCCACTTCAGAACTGTAATTTTGCCCCTGTTACGAATAGTAACGCAAATATCTGATATGCAGGATGTATTTTCATTCACTGGACCAAATTTGGCACAAATACCTGATGCACCCAAATTTGAATACTGGTGGGCTTGGGGGAGGTTAATGTTGTCATTTGGGATTTATAGTTCATCTACAACCCAGGAGCATTTTGAACTCCACCAAGGATGGAATTGAACTTGGCACACAGAACTTCCATGACCAACAGAAAATACTGGAAGGGTTTGGTGGACATTGACCTTGAGTTTGGGAGTTGTAGTTCACCTACATCCAGAGAGCACTGTGGACTCAAAAATGATGGATCTGGACCTAACTTGGCACGAATGCTCAATATGCCCAAATGTGAACACTGGTGGAGTTTGGGGGAAATAGACCTTACCATCTGGGTGTTATAGTTGCTGGGATGTATAGTTCACCTAGAGTCAAAGAGCATCTTGAACCCAACCAACAATAAACTTGGGCCAAACTTCCCACACAAAACCCCCATTAACAACAGAAAATATTGTGTTTTCTGATGGTCTTTGGCGACCCCTCTGACACCCCCTCGCGACCCCCCTAGGGGTCCTGACCCCCAGGTTGAGAAACACTGCCCTAAGCGAAGGCACGGGACGGAGGCGCTCAATGCATTTTGGCCACAATGGATGCAAGTAGGTCTCCTGCCCCAAAGGTACCAGCCTAGAGCGCATCTGCTCTGCACAACAGGGTAATCATTCCAGTTTGAGTCCTTCCTCGCTTTCTCTGCTTGGCCGGAGAGAGGGACTGGGTGGGATCTATGCCGGGAGTGGTCCAGGGAAATGTGGCTTAAGGTCAAGGTTCCCCTTGGCATTAAATCTAGTCATAATTGACTCTGGGAGGTGGTGCTCATCTCCATTTCTAAGCCAAAGAGCCCTAGAGGAGTCCCTTGGGGAGATGGTAGCGGGGTACAAATAAAGTGCTATTATTATTATTATTATAGACACCTCCTAGGTCATGTGGCCAGCATGACTACATGGAGCGCCATTACTTTCCTGCTGTAGCGGTACCTATTGATCTCCTCTGGGAGACCAATACCTGTGAGGAGCGGCTTAAAGAGCTGTGCATGTTTAGCCTGCAGAAGAGAAAGAAGGCTGAGAGGAGATAAATATGTGAGGGGAAGTCATAGAGAGGAGGGAACAAGTTTGCTTTCTGCTGCCCTGGAGAAATTATTATTTTTATTATTAATTATTTATTTATGATATTATTTTATTTATATATTATATTATATAAAATTATATAATTTTATTATATATATTATATTATTTTATATTATATATATACATACACACACACTAGCTGTACCTGCCATGCATTGCTGTGACCAACTTTCCCTCCCTCTTTCTTTCTTTCCTTCCTTCTTTCCCTCTTTTTTCCCTTCTTCTTCCTTCCTTCTCTGTTTCGTTTCTTGCTTCCTTTGCTCTTTGGTTCCATCCTTCCTTGTCTCTTTCCTTCCC